GAAATAAATTTTTCCGAATTTATTTCTAAGGGACTTTTCCCGGAATAACCTCCTTCTAAGCACTATAACTTTCTTTCATTTCTATATAGTGGTCCCAATAGTCTTCTTCACGGTTCCCTGTGCCATCTTGAAAGGTAGCTGTGACTTTGCATCGAAGCGAGGGAGACAAGAGCTTGCAATGACAGAAACCCTGCTTTCACACCTACAGACAATTATTCACAGGTATCTATCATTGTATGCTCAACGGCTGTCTCGCTCCAACGCAAAGGCACGCCTACCTTTCAAGATGGCGTAGGGAACCATGAAGAAGACTTTTACACTTAATTAAATTGCCCTGTAATAAGCAGTAATGCAGTACCAATTGAAACCTGCTTTTTGATTGCTCCTTAAGTACAGCACCACTATTGTTAGGTTAGGTTTTGTTATATTGTTGGAAGACTTATCTATTGTTTGTCTATTGTTTTCTCAACCTATCATGAGACCCGTTCCGAGCGGTGCTACCTGGCTCGTAATAAGTGCATCCAACTGACCTCAGTTCTATAGCTTTGTATTTTCCTCTCTGCTTCTTGTAGTGATGTTAATCCCTTCTCAGCTTCAACTTTAAACTGATGGACTTGCATTTCTTTTCTTGTAGAATCTCTTTGACTCATGTCCTTTAACTTCTTAAGAGATACAATCTCATTGACAAGTTGACGCTTCTCTGCTGCATACTCCTCTGTATATTAAAAATAAACATTGATGTTGAAAATTTTGTTTAAATGTTTTTTTTTAAAGACTGCCAGAAGTAAAACGATATTTTCTTGCTTTTGTTAAATACAAATTAAAACATTTTTTTCAGTACCTAACCTACTTCTGGTTTATGTCATAAACTGTAAACTATTTAGTACAGTACTATATTTTGTTGTGTGAAAAAGCCTTGCCTGCTTCTTAGTAACAACAGCTCTACTGTCATTTCAACTTAAAAGTTTTTTTTAACATGTTGTTAATTAAAAATATTATCACTCATATCACCTTGAACATCACGTAGTCTTTTGACTGCTGTATCTTTCTCAGCTTCTAGCATAAGTAGTTTGGACTCTTTTCTGCTGACATCATTAGACCGCTCATCCAGTTGGGATTGCAAGTCTCGCAATTTGCGCATCATCCTGTCAGCTTCTTCAGTTACTCTTGGTGGGATAACTGCATATAAAATAATTATTCTAACTATTAA